CCCAGAGCGCCGCCGTGGACGAGGCGACGGCGCAGGAGGTGCGGAAGGGGGTGACGCTGCCGTTCGTCGTCGTGGACGCTGTGTGCGGGACCCTTGATCGCCGTCGGGGCGTGCTCCATCCTCGTCGGGGGCTTTCAAACTGCACAGATTCAAGGTAGTGACGTTTTCTTTCGTAGCTTTCATGTTTTTTCGTATTAGGATTGTTTTTTCTTGATTTTGGATTTTTTTTTCTTAATTTTTCATGTTTTCTTCTTGATTTTCATTTCATTTCTTTCTTGATTTTCGTTGTTTCTTTTGGCCCTTTTGCTTATTGGTATGTTGGGGGATTGTGGTGGATGCCGTGTCTGACGAGGTCTGACACAAAAGCCTAGCGCACCCAAGTACCCAGCCTTGGACGGACCAAATTTCATCCAATGGAGATGTTATAAAATGATAATAAATAAACTAACCATGATAATGATAATAATAATCAGATAAAAAGTTCCCCGCATCCAACCCTCCTTATTCTCCCCCTCGAAGTCTCACGCAAAAGTTACACGACCAAAAGCAGTCATAAGAGGGAACAAAGAGGCCCATGCACTTGAATATCTAAGAGGTTTGCAGATCAATAACTAACAGAAAGTACCCACCAGCTTCTCCACAAGCAGACGAAGACCTCGGCCAGCAGCGCAAGCCACGTCCTGAAGGTGATCCGGCAGGCAGCGGTCCAGGAGCAGCCGGCAGGAGGACCCCTGGCCCGCCTCCTCAACCCCCCGGAGGTCAAGCGAGCGGAGAAAAGCGAGAGTCGAAGTGGCGCCGTTCGCTCGCCCGGCTCGGTCACCCTCATCCCGAGGGCGGCGGCGGCGGAGTAGGCTCACGGCTGCCCGCGTCCGGCCGCTCCCACGGGCATCGGGAGGCGCAGCGAAGTGGAAGTAAGTTCGCTGTAGAAGTAAGACGAGATTCCGCCGCTGCAACTGGACGCAGACGGAGCCCCACCCGCCCATCAGACGCGACTCGCTGCCCCAAAACGCGGATCGGACTGTCGCTCGTAACGCTAAGAATTCTGCCACGAGAAGTCAGACAGTCAGGCAGACCAGACGGACAGACAGACAGCCAGACAGACAGACCGACAGACAGACAGACAGAGAATGAAGGTGAGGATGGCAGGCACTAAGGGGAAGGAAGCTGCCCGAGTATGACGACATTCACCGTGAATTTTGGTCCGTTTACGGCAGGCTTCTGCGTCAGCCCGCAAGGACAGAGGAACGTGTGTGTTGTGTGTGTGTGTGTGTGTGTTTGTGTGTGTGTGTGTAGCATTTTTATGCATATTGATAAATTTAAAACGATTTCTTACTGTTGGTATGTTTTAGGACGTTTTTCGTGTGACTTGAGAGACTCTCAACACAGTCTTGTTGACTTTCAGAAAATAGTTATGATTAGAATATCTATGAAGATGATGTGTATTATTTGACTTTAGACCAAGAATTTTACTGTCATTCTTTCTTATAATCTTCTGGTAGCTTCAGCTTTTGCTCTTGGGCAGTGAGAGCAACCACAATATCTATAGGGAAATATTTTTCATCTGATTTAAGTGTTATACCTGTAATATTGATATATCTTTAATTTGATATATGTATATGATTCAAGCTAATTATATATATGTATATATAAATATATGCGTGTGTGCGTTTATCTGTACACACACACACACACACACACACACACACACACACACACACACACACACACACACACACACACACACACACACACACACACACACACACACACACACAACACCACACACACATACGCCCACACACACACACACACACACACACACACACACACACACACACACACACACACACACACACAACACACACACACACACACACACACACATACACACACACATAATATATACATATATACATACATACATACATATACATATATGTATCCTAAATTTGATATCATAACCGCAATAACTGAAGTTCTCCCTCTTTCCCCGAACCAGAATTCGCGAAAGCAGCAAAAGTTGTAGCGGCCGCCAGAGCACAGGCTGCAGCCGGGACGCAGAGCGGAGGCAGCCAGAGCGTTCGCCTTAAGCTTTAACGAGTTCTGTGTTTCTAAAAAAAAAGAAAGAAAAGAGAAAAGAAAAATATATAAGCTCTCCAGGGCTGAAATACCCCCGTGGAAGTGACAGTGTTCAACCTTACGGAAAATAACGATTTTGTAGACGGAATAAACGCCAAGAAACGAGGAGGTAGTAGCAGAAGGGGGAAAAAATACCGAACTGTGATACAAGTTTATGTGAAGAGAAACCTATCTGCCTTAACATAGTTGGCCTTTTTCAACTCTTCTTTTCCTCGGGATTTTCTTGCCCGGTGTCAAAGCGCTCAGAAGGACGAGGAGACCAAGACGACGAGAACCGGAAGAGGTGGCAAGCTGACGAACCAAAATGGAGGCCGCGGGAGACGAGGTGGATCGTGTCGATGTGTTAAGGATCATCTGGAGGTGTTTTCGTCCAGGTCTTGTTGTGGTTCTTCAGTATCTTCACCGATTTATTGGTTTATTTATTGTATTTTTCTATTTTGGGGGGAGGGGTGTCTATTTCTCGTGCCCTGTTTCTCGCGTGGAAAGCTCTCAAGCAACTTTTTTTTATATCATTAATCAATTCTGTGATTTACAGTTCTCTGAACTTTAAGTGATAAGTGTAAAAACATATTTAGGTAGAGAATAAGTGAGTGAGTGAGGAAACTGTTAGAGAGAGAGAGAGAGAGAGAGAGAGAGAGAGAGAGAGAGAGAGAGAGAAGAGAGAGAGAGAGAGAGAGAAGAGAGGGAGGGGGGGGGTAAGGGAGGGAAATGAAAGTGAAAAAGAAAATAAAGGGAGCGAAGAGAGAGAGAGAGAGAGAAGAGAGAGAGAGAGAGAGAGAGAGAGAGAGAGAGAGAGAGAGAAGAGAGAGAGAGAGAGAGAGAGAGAGAGAGAGAGAGAGAGATAGTTAGATAGAAGATAGATAAGAGAGAGAGAGAGAGAGGAGGAGAGAGAGAGAGAGAGAGAGAGAGAGAGAGAGAGAGAGAGAGAGAGAGAGAGAGAGAGAGAGTACATGTGTCCCTGCATGCACGTACGTACAGCCAAGGATATACATCAGCATGCCTGGGGATTTCCGATATCCAATACTTACTAATCATCACAAAATATGTATCTAGTTACGTGTAGGAACCATCAATGTTGTTTTTTAGGCTTGGATAGCAGTTAGAGAGGGATCCTCAGAAACTATTCCAGCCTTTTCTCTGTCTTACTACGTATAAAAAGAACGATAATCCCAGAATACTCTACATACAATTCTATTTATATAAGAATAAAGCCATGTAAGGTGCAAACTTTATCCAATCCATTCAACTGACTAATCTTACGGGGGGAATGATTACCTAGTGTCCGCTCTTTCCGCAGAAAAAGTATAATTTTGATAAACTTTGATGATTCTTCATTGTAGGGAAAGGCCTAGAGAGTCCCTTTATTCTTTTTTACTTTATTGAAAGAATGGGAAAACTTTGATATTTGAGTTGTGATAGCGGAGAGGTGGGGAGGGAGGGTGGGTGGGTGGGTGGGGGGGGGTTGATGTTGGTGAAATGCGTGGGAAGTTCATCTTGGTTCATGTCATTTTCAAGGGAGTTACAGTCACAAATTAGATGTATCGTCAGATCTATCTCTGAAAATGTGGAAGAGACAAATGTACACATATACACGTGTTTATATTTGTATGAATATATTATTCACACATGTATATATAACCACTCCAAGGTATATTTTGATTCACTTCCACTTTCAGTCTGACTTCCAAACTGCCAAAACACAGACCTTTTCAGTGGCATATTATATTCCACCATTATTTCAACTATTTCCTCCTATTAGAATTCTGGATAAGGAACCATAATCATTCTAGTGGATCATGAAGTAAATTAATTTATGTTTGTTTGTTTCTTAGGGTAATTTTTTGTTCTGTTTCAACCCGTAAGCTGATTTAGTTTTCAAATACACAGGGTTATTGTTCGAGCGGGATAGCAAATATGACAGTGTAGCGTATTCTGATTGATGTGGATACTAAAAGAAAAATAATGTGGATGATTTAACATGTGGATTTTCGTTTTTGAGGATATTCATAGTCTTGACAAAAATATGTGTTGGTAGCTTGTGGGAAGTGCTAAGAAAAATATGTCTATTTTGGCAGTTTAATGTTTATATTGTTAGTGGAAGGAGTAAATACGAGGTAAGCGCACATATGAATTGTCAGTAAATTAAACTGAAAGTTGATATTACTTGCGGTTGCAAGTGTTATTTGAGAAAAGTTAATTGATTTGTAGGTTATTTTTTCTAGATGGATAGAAATGTACCTTCTATATATTTTCTTCACATAGATATCATCGTATAGTTAAAAAACTATATGTTAAATTGAGATATATAACTGTAATACATTGATACATTTACTCTAGGTCACAGTTATAGCTACTTAAAATACAAATTATCACTGAATAATCTCAGAAGATATTTAAACGTATATCGTGAATGAAACATGGAAGAAATGGCCTATTAAGAGAGCTACCGATGTAAATAAGATCTTGTTAAACTATTGATAGGTTTTGTTCATTGCATATGACGTTTTATATTTCACAAATTATTGTCATGGTTCTTTTTATCTCTCTTTTTGTAACAATTCTCCCTGTAAACACGGCGTCACAAAATGGAGCTCGTGTGGTGTCCTGTGGCTCAAAGACACTGTGTCGCTAAAGGCGTTAATTCTTTGCGCTCGTCGACGTGAACGGGGACTTGGACAGTCTCGTTGTTTCCTCATTCTCTCTATATCCGCATATTTTTGTACTTCGCTAAGACGATTAGCAGAAGAAGAGGAATTGGGAGTGGATGACATGTGCTGTGAGAGTCTGGAGAATAACCTGCTTTACCCTAAACAGTATTTACGAAAGGTTTCCTGACATGTTTAATAATGTCAGTTTGAACT